CGGCATCGGTGTCTGAGCCGGTAACGTTGCAGCATTCCGCTTGTTAGATGTGTGCGCTATTCACCATAATCCTGTGGCAATTTAGGCAATGAAGGTCGGAGAGCTGTGTGGGGATGTTGATTCCTTCGTATGGCTCGCCGCCAAGCAATCATCAAAGAATTCGTCGTCATTGTTATGACCTGTTCGCGAGGCGATGGCCAAAGCTTCATGACACAGTACTTTAAACGTCGATTCAGGTCGATCTCACGACGAATACCCTATTCCTTGTGTAACTTGCACAGCACTGCTTCTGGAAACACATCTTTTAATTTTTTGAATCATCGTAGAGGACTAGTCTTAAGCGAATCTCACAACTAGGATGTAAATCCCTAAATCCGATTCTTTCTATCAAGGACACTCTCTTTCATTAATGAGCTGCATAGAATCCTTTATATCTTGGCGAATAACATTGCCGACCACATATAGGTTACATAATCGTCTTTTGCGACGATTACGAAAAAATGATTGACGTTGGACCCACGCCTCGGACCTTGCTGAACAGCTTGACAATAATTGTTACCTGCGAAACGGGGTACCGCGTTGGGGGAACTGCCTTCCTATACATAATGCTCTATCCATCTTCGAAAATTTATTGCGTGCTTGCAATTTCCTATAGTTGATAGCACGAGAACTCTCGCTACCCGCGTGACAGAGGTTCCATTAAACTGGGCCTAAATTTCTGTCGTCTTGACGCACGATAGTAATTGAAACTCGCGTAAACCTGTTTCACGCTGAAGTCCTCCTGTTCCGTAATCTTTATGGCCTCTTCCAAGGTGTTAAATTCAAACCGGAACAGGCAGGTTTAATGAGACCATCATCAGAGCCTGCATGAACAACGTAATCAACGTTTGTTGGTTAAGTAGGTCAACTGTTATTTAAATGGTAAGGTGACGTATGTACTGATATACGAGTGTGCATCACGTTTGGCTTGCTTGATTTTTTACGAATTTAGAGCAAGCCCCAAACTCAGCTCGCGGTGGCTCAAACGTTTTTCTAGGAAGGGACTTAAAGACTATGAACGAACCACAGACATATGGATCGACAATCTTAAGGCCCATGTCTTTACACGCCCTGCCAAGTTCAATTGAGCAAATGCGATCTGCACTTGCTTATCGACGATGTGGCGAAACTATATGGCATCCTACGGTTCCACGAACCATATCAACACAGAGTCTTTATTGACTCTATTATATGTTAAGATACAAATCTTTAGAGCCTCGGGTCGAAGTTTGTACTTCGAATCGGTAGCAGTGGCCTGCTGCTGTCTCAATAATTCGAACTGTTAAGCACGACATTCTCTAAACAGCTCTTTGTGTTGACAACCTTGTTGATAAAGCTAGGTTGTTTTATCCAGCTCAAAGTCAAGTTCATTCTGAAAGAACTTGGCGATGATGGCGTTCTGTCCGTCTGGCCCCAGGATGGACAACATTGCACCAACGGCTTCTTGCCCTAACGTCCAGCTCAAACGCTCGACGGCATCCCATTCAATTTGTATTAAATGGGAGAAGATTTAATGCGTGATATGAAGTTCATCCCCCTTTTCGTTTAACATGTTCATGTTCGTCAAAAATACTACAATATGCTTCCAGGTGTAACGGGGCACACCTTATCTAGCTAACCGAAATACTTTGCACTACCGACAGTGCAAGGGGGTGTGCGTCCGACTACTTCACGTAAACATACGTGCAGAGGGAGATTGATGTACGGAGTAAGAGTACTCAGTAAAGGAAACCGTAGAGCTGTATTTAGTATAGTTGATCCTTTTTAGTAAATCCATTTTTAACTTTATTGAATTATGTACTATTACATACGTGCATTGTTACTAGCCACGCACCACTCATTGCGTGCTTCTGTCGTGGCTAGCCTTTATTGGTTATTATCTCTATCCTGTATCTGCCAATGAGCAGTGTGTTGCATCTGCGAAGCAATATTATCTTTCAGGATAATTTTGTTAGTTATTGTGTTTGCCCTAACATAAGAATCATACTTAATAATTACCTTCAGCAAAATATCATGTAACGGAGTGCCTCCGTTACATAACGCACACTCACGAATAACTTCGCGATCGGGCACGCATTACGTCCATAAGCAAGCCGTGGAGATCGCCCTGGAGTATATTTTTCCACTGAATTGAGTTTTGAAGAATCTACACCCACCTATTTCAGGTGGTGGACGACTTGAATATGGATTGTGCGTCGTGTATTCAAAGTGAAAGTGTAGTTACATCGTTGTGAGAGGTACTCGTTGATGTTGTTGACGATCTAAAGAGACGAATATGAGAAAGGTGGTGGATAACTGCTCGGGAACGCCGTCAAAAACAAACGCGATCGATGACATGTATTTGACACATCTGTAACTGAAATGTAATGGACGAAGATTCCTCTTCCATCGAGAGGAGAAGGTTCACATTCATTCTTATTATATCGTTTCATAGAGTGCTTTGGATGAAAATCACTTGTCATGTACTGTTTGAAGTGCGACACTTTTGCTGTCATGAAGTGTCGAATATTTGCTTGTTCGCCGTCCATCCGCACTTGTCTCTTTAATCCGATCACGTGCGTCATTGGTACATGTATGTGACGAACACTGAACGCGGTTCGTGACCTAGTTTAAGAGTGACATCAAAATGCAAATCTACCAATGAGGAGGGACATGCTGCATCGCACTTGGTGCGACGTGTGCATGCACCCGTGTTATCCAAGCACCACACACACAGATAGACAGACAGACACACAGTCGCAAAGACGCACAGACGCAAGACAGACTAACAAAAAGTAGGGTTTGAAGGCTCGGCATTCATCTTGCGTACAGTTCATCCTTCGGGGTCGCTAATGCATCTACTGCTTATCTCGAAGTCGATAGAATCTTGTCTGATCTTGCTTCCCTCTCCACCCCAATACTGGGGGAACTTGTAGAATGCCGCGCGTTATCACCAGGTGTTTGCGCAACAAACGTGTGTAACAGAAGCTCGTGGTACAATAGTGGTAATCATATCATTCGCAAACAGGGCACGGTTTTTTTAGGTGGTCACGATCTTTCACGTACACTCGCACGTGCGCAGAAAGCTAATCTACTCAAATTGCTAGTTTTAGTAAAGGCAAAAAGAAAGATGTATGTGATATAGCCAAGCTATCAATAGAACTCCTGTCTTGATCTAACTATGTTAGCCTATATTGTCGTATGACGACAACCTGCTCGCCATTCATTGCGCGCGTCCAGCAGCGATCGGTGGTAATCTTGGTTGATATGTGTTTATCAACCAAGCTTCGAGCAGTACGTGAATATTATCAAAAGAGGATAACATTCCTTCAATATTACCTATCGCAGGTCGTATTGGCAGGAGATTTCCACGCGAGAAGATCTCCCTCTTGACACCGTTTGGTGTCAACATCATGTAACGGGCGACCCTGTTACATCCCCCTTCTTAACCATCAATCACCCCGTAGATTGAATTAAATTGATCGGGGACATGGTGATAACCTTTGGGTCACTCCGGGAAAAGGGAGGTACTTGTTGGTCAAATTTCAACTCATTTGCCGATTCATTGCATGGTGTCAAAGTCCATGTGGTGCGCTGCCGAAGCAGCCAGAAAGGCGGTTGCAAGCATGCGTGCAGCCAAGGGAAACTTCTCAAACCTCAGCAGCAGGTTATCATTCGCCTCCTGTTGCAAGTGAGCAACAGGCAGTGCCTGTTGTGAAAAGTCCGCGTGGTGAGCCGCCATGTGCGACAGATACATCCGCTGCGTCTAAAGCGGGTTCAGCGACTAGAAATATTGATGAGCCTGAGATATATCTCATCTATTCTGGCGAGTCGAATGCGTGGTTCTACTCAGGGCGGCGCCTCCTGCCTCCGGGTCACCCGGGGCAAAACTGCAAGATCCAGATTGAATGGCTCGGGGAAACGTGGCGGTGTCATGTCCGAGATCATCGGGCCGAGAGATTCGTCTGATAACTCTTTGTCTCACGCAAGTCCATCTGACGCGAGGACGCGTGGTGATGGTGTTGACGCACCTATACGTCACCACGAGAGAAGCAACTCAAGGTATCGATCTTCTACTGGTGTCAGAGCTCATGCTGACACCTCACAAGAGGCCAGGTACCGCAATGCCCTGCACCATGCTCCTCAAGTGGAGTTTTCTTGAATCCCATCATCCAAGGAGTTAGATCGAGTGGCCGGTATGACCACTGAAAGGGATCGAATCCCATTGTTTGACTGTAGAAGGATCTGAACTCCCGATTCCAGCACGGAAACCATTCGTGTTGAGGAAGAAGTCCACACCGATGTGATATACAAACATCTGTAGTAGGATAGAAATCGTGGCCGCGTCGGTAAGGCCTTGATGAACGTATGGAATGCCTTCATTCATGGCATTGAGTGCATTGGCCGTGAGGCCTGGCTCGGTAAACTTGATGCAGCTAGCAGGTTTGAAAAAAACGTAATTCAGACGGTGTGAATTACAATTTTGCACAGACTGTCAAGAGAGGCAAGTTTAGCCTATCCCTCGTGGAGCAATCCATGTCCAAGGTGCCTGGAAAGTGCTAATCGTGCCCCTAGAGAGGCCTGAATCCCTCTTTTCTACTGGAGGGCGCGCATCTCTTCCGAGATGGCCGAAGGGATTCATACTTTGCAATCCCTGTAGTTGCGTCCTTAGAGGTCGTTTTTCGACGTCCTTTTTTAACGCAGCGGTCAAGTCTCGTCCTACTGCTCAAGGAGACCTAGAACATCAACATTCAGCTGGGCGCGAGGCTCTCAGCTGTCCCACGCTGGTGGATAGTCACGCCAGCGGACGAGGTAACTCGTCCGGACGCCATTCACATCGCGGTGGTTCAAAATACCCTTCACCAGAAAGCGTTGACCACCGCCAGAATCCGCCGAAGAATGTGGTGGCGGCGGGAACACCTGATCCGGCTCGAGGGTCAGATCAGCTTGATGTTCAAAAAATGAACCGTGTAACAGAACAGTTACGTGATGAACTGGATCATGAACGGACTCGGCGTTATGAGCTCCATGACTTTGTAAAGGATAATTTCAATTTCTTTGCGCACGATCGTTCGAACGATCGTGCCATGTTTGCGCTCGCGCAGCTTGAGAACGAACGTTGGATCGTTCTCTTCGTGACGAGCTGGCTGCAGCTCATCAGGACATCGCTCAGCTGCGTTAGAAGGTCGCTTCGCTGATTGGAAAGATTGGCTCGTTGAAACGGGACCACTCGAAGGTGAACTTGGCCCTTGATCGTGGAGGTGTTCTTCGCCTCTCGAAACGGGCTCGTACTGATAGTACGTGTGGAGACTCCTAACGTAATACGTAGGGTGCGTACGCATCCTACGAGGCAGTTCAATTGTGTATTTGTTGCCCTTGCGGTGTAATACATGAAATAGATCGATGTACTTGGGCATTAGTTTACTGCTGCCCACGTTTTTCACTGGGTGTCTTGGTAGATTTACTGTTGACAGTAAAATAAAGTTACCGGCATTGAATGAAAGAGCGTTAGCTCTTTCATTTTTTTCTGCGTTTCTTTTCTGCTTACCTTTTGCATCTGCAATAGAGTCTTGAACGAGGCAGACAACCGCTTCATGAGTCAGCAGAAATCTCACTGCTGACTCGTCCTTGTTAAAAGCAGTGTGCTTCGTGTGCACTGCTAAAAGAGCGTTGTCTTTACCAGTGAGGGCGTCATCGTACTCACTGTAGCATTCGTTGCGATGCTGAATATACCATCTTTGCCGTCATCATCATTGTCAATGTCGATGTGATCGACATCGGCATCCATCACGTCGACATCGTTGTCAACGTGTGATGAGCAAGAACCAGATCGGTTTTGTTCGAGAGCTCCCCCCCTTAAACTAGAGTCACACTATAAGAAGGCGGATAAATACGAATGGCGTTAGCCATTCACGAAGAACGGTGTATGCGTTGTCGACCCTTGCACCGAGTTGTTGATGGCGAATTCCGCCATCGGCAAGAGCTTACTACAACTCGTAAACGAGTAGACGTACCCTCGAAGTATCTCTTCAAGGAAGCGGTTAACACGTTCCATTTTCCCATTGTTTCAGGATGGTCAGAAGCCGACATTCATAAACTTGTTCCATGTAAAAAGAGCAAGTATTGCCAGAACTCCGCTGTGAAGTGGGTGTCCCTGTAAGACACGAGTTCACGGGGTAGCTCGTGAAGTCGGAAGATAGTATCAATAAAGACACGAGCACATCCCTGGGCTGTGATTGACTCCGGTACAGCCACAAGATGTACCATCTTGCTGAACCGATCAACAAACACAAGAATACCCGTATTCTTGTGGACGTCTTTGGGAAACCCAAAGACGAACTCTATCGATACAGACTGCCAGCACTCTGCCGGAATCGGAAGAGGCTGCAAGGGTGCGCAGAATGAAGGACTAGGCTTCACCCGTTAAAAAAATTCGCAAGCGCGAAAGTATTTCCGCACAAACTCATACTGGCGGGGCCAGTAGAAGTCACGACTCACCGTGAGGTGAGTCTTTTTTACTGCGATGCCCACTTGTCGGGGCATCGTGACACTCATACATGATGCGTAATCGCAAATCATTATGAGCCGGAACGACGACACGAGGTGTGTCACCGTTGACTGCTGTATAGTACAGCAGTCCATCACGAACAGAATACCGTTTCGTTGAAGAGCATAATTGAAACGACAAGGTTTTCAAAGCTCGATTACACGGATTCGACACGTAATCCATCGATCGCAGAAGAAAATCATCTTCTGCGTATGCTTTACGCACGTCGTCGAGCATATTCGACGACGGAACACTCACTTTTAGTGTTACAACAGCGGGATCACCCCTACCGTTGGCTTGAGCAGTCAGCTCTAAAACGGGCCGACACGAAAGAGCGTCAGCGACGACATTAAGTCGTCCTGGTTTACACTATAAGTAAAAGTTGTACTTTACGTAGAAAGACATCCACCTCGCCATTCGTTGCGAGGGGTATGGAATGTTTACGACTATGCTTGATGACGCATGGTCGATGTAAATGATGGAGGGCCTATCTCCTAAGATTTATACCCGAAACTTAGCCAGCGCATATTTCGTTGCAAGGAGTTCCTTGTCATGCACTGCTTAGTTACGCTCAGCTGCTTGCAGCTGACGCGATTGAAAACCGACGACGCGCTCAACGCCGTTTGAGTCGTACTGCATTAACGCGCAGCCGATTGCAAAATCGCTGGCGTCACAGACCACATGGAATGGCCTGTCCTAATCTGCAATCGCCAACACAGGAGTTGTATCAAGCTTATCTTGATACCTTCGAAGGAGTGCTGAAACTCATTACTCTATGACCACCTCTCGTTTTTCTTTAGCAGACAAGAGAGGTGTACGGTCATCTCGGCGTAGTTGCGCTAGTGCTTGTGCAAGTACGCCGCTAAGCCAAGGCGCTTTCGAAGTACCTTGATGTCGACTGGCACAGCCCGTTCGCTATTTGACTTGATCTTTTGGATCAGGACGTACGCCGTTTTTACGTAAGATGCAGCCAAGAAGTGGCATTTCGCTCGCTGAGAATATGCACTTCTTGAGGTTAGCAAAAACTTTTGCTCATGCATAAGTGTAAGAACCTTCCGGACGTGGATTCTATGAACATTCACGTCTGCCCTTCCATGTATTCACCGGCTATGGGCGAAGGCATCTTCAAAGTAACTCGGTGCTAAGTCTCGCACCAATCGCAACAGATTCGTAATACTTGTGTTGAGCTTTGCAGGGGAGTTACTTAGCCCTAGTGGCATGACTAGCCACTCCCATAGCATATCACTTGATGCGCTCACTGCTGTGTAAGGGGTATCCTGTCCACTTATGAGGATCTGATAAAACCCATCATCAGATCCATGAACGAAATGATGACATTTTTTGCCATGCCATCTATAATTTCGTCCTTCCTCGGTGTAGTCGTCTGAGCCTGTACCGTTGTAGCAATCAATTTGTTGAACGCATGTGCTATACACTACTCTCCTATTGCTTCTTGCACACAAAAACCATGGATACGTGGAGGGATGCTGATTCCCTCACATGGCCCGCCGCCAAGCGATCGTCAAAGAATTTGTCGATTATATTGACCTGTTCACGAGTCAGTGGCCACTGCTTGGTGATATAGTGCTTCGAACCGGGTTTCAGTTCGATCTCATGTCGAGTGCCTTTGTCCTTCGGCAACTCTCACGGCACAGATTCGGGAAAAACATCTCTGATTCGATCAAATCCTAATGCAAAGGATTTTCTTCAAAGACTCTCGATATTAAGACGTGTATCGCTCAATCCAGATCTTCTCATCGTATATCGATGAGCTACTGAGAAACCGTTCTTTCACAGTAAACACTTGTTCCGACCGAATATCGGCGACGTACTCTTCCTCTAAGATGAGTAAGCAGATGTGTTTGATCATTTCACTACGCAGATCTCGCAGATTCTTTTAAGTTTTAGCGTTGGCAAATTGATTACCTCCGAAGCTGAATTCGGGGACGTAACCAGATCAAGTGTATAAGCAACTACACTTGATCCGTCATTCACAAAGACATTAACTGTCTCGGTGATTTCTCTGGAAAACACATTCACAGGTGGTTGGGGAAACACACCCTCAACATAACTCTTCCGAAGTTATCACTCTCATGAACGCTGGAACTTTCTTCCAATACGTGTCTGGCTGTGGGAGCACTACCACAGTCACGGCCTCTTCGATCGACTCTCTTTCAGTCGATCGTGTTTGCTTTACGATCGACTCTCTGTTAGTCGATCTCGTTTCAACATGGTGTTTATCCTGAATAAAAGTCATAGCTCTTTTTTGATGCACCCTGTTTGGTGTGCATCCGTGTTCCAGTCCACTCGATCTCTTCGAGTGGTGAATCTTCGGCGCAGCCTGTGTCTCTACACAGGTGCCGGAAGCTGGTTCCACAGTGTAGTGGCCTTCTACACTGTGATCTTTTGCAGTTGTGCTAACGACCGTACCACAAGTGAGGCCATCATACTCACTCGTCTTACATCCACACGTTTGTGGACGCTCCAAGACGTTCATCAGATGGCCATATGCTGAATAAATGGCAGGCATCTTCACGGATCGATGCTGCCAGCTAACCCATGGCTGGTATCTTCTCAGCCATGGCAGACCGAGGATGACATCGATTTTTTCATCCAAGTCTAGTACGATGAAGTCATCGTCGTACAGCTATCCTTCTAGCGTGTAGTGACTATCCCCTACAAGCTTATTCAATGTTACGAGTGCGCTTGTTGCAAGTCACACCGTCATCCTCGTTGGAGATAACTTTCGTCCAAAATAGTTGATCCTACTACCTCTAGTAACTGGCGTCGAATGAAATTGATCATGGTCCCACAGTCAACTAAGGCGCGAAGTGACATTCCACTTGTCACTTCGATCGTCAAAGTGATGAGAGACTCCTCATCACTAGGGTAAGTAACACAAAGTGACGGTTCAGTTCAAATCAATCCAGTGTCAAGAGTCCTGCAAATTATCTTGACGTTGCTGGGTCAGCAGGGTTATTTGTTGAGTAATTTGCCCCAGCAGCGAGTCCACCAATTGAGCCCATGTCTGAGGCAACCGACGATGCTACTGACGTTCCATTTGTGCTCTCCCCAACCTTTTCCAGTTATGCTTGATAGTGCCGAACGATGTTAGCATGGTCCAGCAGCGCTAGGATTTTCACCTCACGCAAAAACTTCTGCAAAGTCTTCGACGTATGGTTCTTCAAGAAAAGACCAAACCGTTTGATCGCACACTTTCGTTCATCCAAGCGATTCTCGGCGAGTGTAACTTGACCAAATCCACCTTTGCCAATTGCTGACAGCTCTTCAAACTCGTTCACGAAACGACTTTGGCAGACGAACGGGAAAAGAACTTCTGCCTCATTCGAGGAAGCCTCGGATTCACACGAGGATGATTGCGATGATCCTCGAACACTGGACAGGTCCACGCTTATTTATGGATTCATACCAGTCTGATTGCCTCGCACACATCGCGTACCACCACCTCCAATCGACTGATGACTGCTGTTACTGTTGCTGTTGCTGCAATAGCTTCCCGATGTAGATTCTCCGAATGAGCTGATCGACTTTGGGCCGCTCATGACTCTTGAGTCGGTACCTGCCTAAAACGTGTCATTCTTTGAATACATTGGCTTGGAGCAGCCGTTCCAAAGCATTATAATACGTGATCGGTGGTGAAGGGCACATATATAGCGATTGGTTGTGATAAAATTTCGACTTGAAGGCTCAGCAGCACGCACGGAGCATTAGAATAATAGCGCATCCACGCGACGCGCACCAAGAAACTTATAATAGCAAAAAGGCTTTCTAAGC